GTACATTTTTTTTTGCGTGTGTATACTTATAAATACGTTGTTGTGTTGTGAAATAAATAATCTACCAGAGATTTGGGTTTTCTTTTCGAAGTCTATCCTCTTTTGAATATCTCAAACTCTGTTTCAGGTTATGGTTTTTCTTTTTGGTTGTATTTTGAGTCCCATGATTGGTGGTGTGAAAGAGATCAGTATTCTATAACTATTATCTCCATCCCTATGCGGATCTAGGGCAGGGGATTTGTACTGTGTTGTTAACTGAAAAAAAAAACTATGAAAGATGGGTTTAATTACCGTATGAGAAGCTACGAATAACTTGGGTTACTTTATTGATGGTGTTGTGGAGAAGCCAAGAAGTGGTAATGATGAACTCAAACTATGGAGAATGGTGGATTAATGCTTGTGGCTTGGATTTTAAATTCAATGTTGCACACTCATGTGCGGAGATTACATCTAAATGATGGGAATGGCTTCGTGATTGTTTTCTGTTGGCAACAAATCATGCATATCTATATGTTGAAGGCGGATGTGGCTTCACTGAAGAAGGATAAATGTAACAACCCCTGAACCCGAGTAAGGAGGTTTGAAGTCTAAAGGCAGGCTCAATCACTAACCAGGAGGAATCCTTTCCACTAGGCATGAGGAGATTCGCCACCCGTAGAAATGTTCCCAATATTTCCACGTGTTGACCGATCTCTAGGCTCGTACGTTGTTATAAGATCAGACCAGCGTTTTTGATAGTTTCCACCGCGCCTTTCATCCTCTACCAGGAAGTCCATCACGTGTCTCCCTCTATGGTGCTTTTTAAAGTGATGAAGCCTGACCATTGCAACATCGCCACACCGTCAACGACTGCGCTGTCTTCTATGTCGCCAAAGTCACGTAACTGTAAACCCTAGGGGCTATCTAAGAAGTCCACACCAACGTTAGCCACAATTTCTCAAGTGGTCCATCAATTCCCAAAACAAGCAAGTTGATATTTTTCTTAATCAATCAACATGTGTGTAAAATACATTAAACTAATTAATGGGTTTACTTTAGATAACCAAAACCGAAAGTGGATCTAAAAGTTTTTCAATCCGTTTCTTTTATATTTTTGAGTCACCTCAATCCGCTGTTTTCATCTTTCTTTCATTATATAATCTTGAATTTAATCAGATGCATAAAGTTGTACAGAGATAGCATAAGAATATCTCAATAGGTTTGTCACTGAAATTCCGAAATCAGACAAGTCTCTCTAACATAAAACAAGGAGTTGCGAAACCAAACGAATCAACAATATCATATGGAGTTAGATCGAAGAGTAACAGAAAATTACCTGAACTTTGATTAGAATCTTGTGGGACAAGTTTTCGCAACGTCAATTCAATACACGAAGAACGTCCTTCTGCCGCTGACCAACATATATACATATATGTAGTAAACGTCGAAAATGTGCACGCCATATGATTCATTTTCTTTGAAATATGTTTATCATATGAAGTTGCTCATAACAAATTAATATGGAACGTATTATATAATTAAAATCGTAATGTCAAGGTTTGACATAGTATAATGTTATGTTATTATAATGTTTTCGTACAAGCAGCTTATAATCTAATATGATTATGATCATATAGGAACAAGTCTATTATTATGAATTGGAGAGCCTACTGCTATTATCTTCAACGTTCAAAATGAATTCGATCTGAACAAGTTTTATTATGACTATGAGGATAGAGAATTTGATATCCCAACAAAAGAAGTTCAACATGTCTTATTGGA